AGGGGGCCATAAGCAACATATGGGAGGGAGGGAGGCATAGGTGATATATAGGGAGGAATGGGGGGTATGTGTCCCCTGATTTTTGTGTCCACAGCAGGACACAGGGCTGCAGCCTCACCGGACCAGGACCAGCACTGGCACGAGCCACTTGCATGTCCCAATGGGCCAGACTGAGCACAGGAGGATGGAGCAGGGCAGAGAGGCTCAGTGCTGCTGCCAGCATGGCCACTGATGCTACCAGGAGTGCCCCACCACCATGGCCACCAAGGTGAGGTGCCTCCTACTTGCCCAGTAGCGGCCGTGGGGCACAACTCCACACTGTCATTACCATGGCACCTCACCTTGGCGGCCATGGCAGTGCAGCTGGTGTGGGGTTCCCAACAGCAGCGTGGAGTTGTGACTCCCCTGCTGCTGCTGGATGAGCAGCCGTGGTGGCGCAGCACTCCATCCCACACTGGATCTCGCCCACCGGGCCAAGAAGGCTCCTTCCCAGTGCCAGTCTGGCCAGGTTGCAGTTCTGTGCCCCTCTGTGGGGACAGAAATCCCCCCATACTCCCCCAGTGCATCACCTACAGCATCACCTATGCCCACACATCCCCTGCCCCATGCACACACTCCCTTCCCCATACACTGGTGGGCTGGGGCTTGGGGAGGCAGAAGGTCAGGAGTGGGGGGGCACCAGCAGGGATGGGGGGGCTGTGGGTTGGGAGGGGTACTGGCAGAGCAGGAGGCAGTGGGTCAGGAGTGAGGGGCACCATCAGGACTGGGAGAGAGGGAGACTGGGTTAGGCATGAGGAGCACCAGCAGGACCATGAGGCAGTGGGTCAGGAGTGAGTGGCACTGGCAGGGCTGGGGCCATGGGAGATTGTGGGTCGAGAGTGAGGGGCAACAGCATGGGCAGGGCATTGGCATATCAAGACTGCTCAGTGCCACAAAGCAGCAGGGGGGACAGCCGCAACTGGACCCATGTCCTGGTGAGAGAAGGGGACGGGGGAGCTCTGATTTTCCATGATAAAGAAAACAAAATCAAATGCCAAGATATATAGGTACTAGAATTTATTTTATTAAAATGACTGAGGCACTGGCAGGCTTCCAAACTGCTTTAAGTTGTAAATATATCAATAATATACGTATAGCGGTATTTCATTTTAATCACGGGAAAATGCGGATTTGGAGTTTTTCAATTAGAGAATTCTGGATTTTTTTTACCAGAGAAAACCAGAATCCCTGATCATGGGCCAAAAGCCATGCTAGCAGAAGAAACCACTATCTCCTAAGTTACCTCATGAATGATCTGATGTCCATGGAAGCTATTCCACTGAAAGCAAAATCTTTCAAAGCCATACTGATTTTGAAGAAACTTTTGATGGAAAATTGTTCAAATTATTTGAATCCAAACCATAATATTTTGTTTCAACACTTTCATTTTGACTTTCACATTTCACTTCAACCTGTATATTATTTTAATTTTATATACTGTAATTAACATGTGTTTAATGTTCTATTTCATAACAGTTCAACATTTTCAAGACTTGTATAGAAATGTTTTATTTCTGAGATTTTTCAGAAGTTCCTTTTCAAAAAGTATTTAAACATTCTGACTTTTCTGCCTAAGTTAGGACACCAACAACCCAAGTGGCCATCTCCAGCTATTGACAGGCCTGTTTGTATAAAGCAGGTCTAGTGGATCAAAGAATCTGGGGCCTTTCTGAAAGAAGAATCAGGCCCATAATAAGGAAAAAATAAGAGAAATGTTGATAGAGAATGAGAAAGGAGAAAAGGTACATGCAAAAGTTACCAACATCACTTAAAAATCAAACAAGAATTAAGAGGCCATGAGTAACTGAGTCCAGATTCAAACAACTATTTCTGCCTCATAATGTGATTTAGTGCTAAAGAGTATATTAATTATGAAAAGACAGAATTGAATTGTTAAAAATAAGACAGGCAGTGCCACATAGGCTAGCCTACAACTTCTAGATACTAATGGAAAAACCCTTTTCCCTCCACAATTTTCTACTATCAAATCAACTAGTGTATATGAATGTAGCCCTAGTTAATGTGTGGATACAGAAAAATGACTTGGTGCAATGTTATGCTTTGGTTGTGTTTTCACCAATTATATTTAGCATATATTACTTTGCACTTTGACATTTTTAAACTGGTTTAGATACGTGTTCTATAAATATGCTTATATAAAAGTCTCATAATATCATGAGTACTTGGCAAATGACTTCTGCAAATAATTATATGAATAATTATATAACAGCTTTTCTTGAAGCCCTTTTTTATATTCCATGAAAGAAAAAAATATACAAAACTAAATGGAAAAAAATAAAAAGCATGATGTTTCCTATAGGAAGGGTCATAAAGAACAGGTCTAATACTGTAAAACTACAGAGATTTGCTCGTGGAAGGAAACTTACGGTAACAGGCCCTATGAGGCTATAACAAGATTTTTCAATAGTTTGTTTACTGAATATTGATAGCACGTATTGCAGGAAGCAATGAACCAGTTTACAGAGTTTAGGTGAAAGAAATAGAATTTAAAGCTGGAAATTTAACCCTGCAAAGTTAACTGGCTGAGTTTTCCAACCTGAATTTGGACACTCAAGTTGACAGAACTACCACAACTTTTAAAAATATACACAGTGAAGTTAAGAGGTTGGTTTACTAGATAGACTACATTGAAGTCAATTAATTGATTACAGGGGCAAATTTGCTCAGTAATATATTCAAACAATTTTGTGCTTCTATAGTGCTGTCCAGCCAGGAGTTTCAGAGCACTTCACAGATAGTAATGAATGTGTCCTAAGGTCTCATATTATGTAAGGAAATAATATCAGGGTGCAGTTTGTAGCCATGTTGGTCTAAGGACATAGGCAAACACAGTTCTTTGGGTAAATCTGCTACCTTTTATTAGACTAACTCAAATAGTTGGAAAAAATCTTCTTAGCAAGCTTTCAGGTTTAAATACCCTTCAGGCTGAGGAAACATCTGCAGATGGTATGTGCTTTTCCTGAATGGAAATACTATCTGCATTCTAAATGTGGAGAAACTGTTGAACCTTAGCCACTTGACCCTTACTTATAACAGTTCCCATTCGATCCCAGCAAGTAACATTACTGGATCAAGCTGCAGCTCCCACAAAAAGCTAGCAATACCTCCAGATCTTGACATTTGCTGGTGGTGCTGTAGAGCTGGTCAGATGGCATT